GGAGTGCTATAAAACGGTTAAAGCCTAAATGTTCTACTGGCTTGGATTCCATACCTTCATTTTTTCTAAAAGACTGTGCACGTGTTCTTGCTGAGCCTATGACATAGAAAATGGAAATTGTCTGCATTTAAGAAAGGCGATCGATCGCAGGTAGAGACTATATTACAGCTAACTGGTGAGAAAATAGGCTACGGACAGGAATATTTATGAAACCTGAAAAGGATATTACATTTACCATATTTTCTTTCACAGTCTTTTAAATTATATAGAAATTTATTTTGCGATGTGACAGCGTCTAGATGTGAGGCAATGCGAAAATATTTTGTATGTGATGCCTCTCCTATTTTTCTGTGAAGTGACTTAATTACACATAACACGGGTGCGGTTTTCCCGCAATGCTTCTCAAAGCTTTTGAAAGCGCAAACAAAACCGGAAACATTTGTAATTTATAACTATGAACATAACCTCTCTTCAGAAAGGACAATACAAATAACCCGTCTAGTACAGCGAACACACTTGACGGGCAGCACATTCAGTGATAGTTTTCTCACATAGCAAATATCACTTATTTTATGCACATGCAGACCACTATACACAATCACCACACAATCATCCAGAGGCGACCTTGAGGTTCAACAAAGTTTATTTCTTTTACATCTTCTCAGAGGTACATACTCCCTAGACTACCTCGGCATTCTGCAACCAACAAAGCACGCTGACATGTTGAGTCATTTCTCCACAGCGAGCAATAGCGAAATGATGTATTTGTACACTAGTAGCTATCTAGTCGGAAAGATGACATTTTGTCGATTTTTTTTTATGACATTAAATAGGCTTTTTTACGTAATAAACCTGCAGATCTACTGGACTGCCTTTTTCACCAGACTGGCTTTCTGAACAGTAAACGTGCACTCACATTGAGGAAAAGCGGAGCGAACTGCGGTGACATTTCTCATTTGAACGTGACAAACGTGACACGTATCTTCCCTTCATCGTCCCTGAAGTGTGCGGGCTGCCATTTGACTATGTGTGACAGAACTCAATCGAATAGTTTCCCTTCCATCTTCATCGCTTCCATTCCCCTCCATGAGCGTACACATTTATCATTAGTCTCTCTTAAATCATAATTCTCAATGATCACAACGAAATCTTGTTGGACCCTAATTGAGACTCTATCTTTCACTATTTGCTTTACATTAAATTTTCTTCCCAGGCAACTGAAGGCCTTCCCCTTCCTCTTTGTTGTGGTATGTAATTTGATGCTTTATTTGGCCATCTATCTTCACTCATTCGTTTTACGTGACCGTACTACACTAGTTGTCTGGTTTCAATTCTGTCTGCAGTGGAATATACATACAGTATACTCTTCTAAGGCCTACTTTCGTCAATGTTTGAAGCAACTTTTCCAATGGCTTTCTCTAAATCTACAAACATTTAGTGGGTAGATAGATTCCTTGCCTTTCTTTTTTCGATAACTTGCTGCAGAACAATTATATACCTGTACAAGATCGTCCTGCTCGAAATCCACTTTCTTCTTCTATTTCTTCGTATTCTAATTTTATTATTTCTTTTATGTATCTATCTTGTGGTTTTCACGTCGATTATCTTTCATGTATGTTTAACAATATTTTCAAAAGTGCTATTCACTGAAGAAGGTCACCGTTGTGACCGAGACGTTAGGTCGATAGACACCGAAGTCTTCTACGTTATGTACAGTAGAATATAAAGCCATACTTTTGATTGATCTCTTGGAGAGAGCTCTCGCTATTTTGCTGGCTACTGACGCTCTACCAAAGACTGTACGTCCGCCTCTGTGCATCTGATTTAGAGCGTTATTGAGTTAGAGAGCTATGAAGCGGTAACGCGATCCTGCGACGTGAGTTACGCGTAAAAGGCGGGAATATTGGCCGTTGGTTGGTTAACTATTTCCACGTTGCAGAAGCGGGGGCCTCGCTGATTTACTCTGTGGTATTATTTCGAGCCCCCGAGATACTAGAGAACATCGCCATATTCTACTCTCGAATATTTAACGCTTCTAGCTACATCGGAATTATGATATGTAATAAGCTTTTTGTTATTTATTAGGAATGTAGGCTTTACTTATTGAGCAATACTCTTTTTTTCAGACACGACAGTGAGTTTATCGTACTTGGAGTGACAAAGCATGAGAACCATTAAGTTGGATAGGAATAGGTTTAGTTACTCCACGATTTAAAAAAATATTATTTTGTTTTAATGCAATTCTCTATTTTGCCTGTATTGGGAGCAAGATAATATCAGCTAAGATCACAGACTCATCGGATCTCTTGCATGTTCTCCCCAGGGGTTACTGGGGCTGAATCGGCAGTTGTTCCAAGGTATTTAAGGTGTAGACCCCTGCAAGTTTTGCTTATATTATCCATAGGAAGCCAAATCAATTTGTTACTTCATCACTGAGATAACTGAGGAAATCTGCAGCGAATACAGTCTTACGTGTTTTAGAAGATTTTGTGGGTGAGTCATTCAACATAGATGTTAAGGCAATAGACAGCCCCCAACATTTTTTAAACAGTGGATAGTGGTTGGGTGCAAATACTAGAAATTGTTGCATTCCCAAGCAGTGATAACCCAGGTTTCTTGTTGAAGAAGAAGTCGGTGGTAGTTCTCTTTTCTCCAGTTCACTGGCTGAGTCACTCTGAATTGGATTGATCGAAAAGGTCATTGATATGTAAAAGGAACAGTGTCGGAGCGAAGATCCCAGAGGAAGATTCGCGCTGACTTTGTGGGATGAAGACAAGAACCCGTCAATTATATACAGTAATGGACAAAAGTATACAGACAAATTAATATTGTGCTGTATTTCTTTTTTAACTTATTTTATTTATACACCAACCTGTATACCTGTACATAATTCGTTACAGCATAATACTCACTTATACATAAATAAATTCAATAAAAAATTAATTGAAAAAAACTCGAACTATGAAGGACAAAAGTATATAGACAAAGCAAAACAATTACAGAAAAAAGAAGCAAAGTTCATTGTATTATCGAAAACCAACCATATTTGTGTTAATATTTTGTAGCATAACCATCACCACCTGGTATCTTCTCGGCATAGATTGTAGAAATTTCTTGATATAAGATTCATCAATCTGTCTCCGATTTTGCTCTAAAACGGCAAAGAGTTCATCCTTGTTTGAATAATTTTTATCACGTACGTTATTTGCTTATCTAAGTATTCCCATATATTTTATGTCGGGAGAATGTGAAGGCCATTTGAGAACTGGTACTTTTTTCATCCAGAAAGAATTTCTTTGCGAGATTGAAGTGTGCTTCGGGTCATTATCTTGCTGGAAGATTGATCTCAAGGGCATATTGTCTTCCATATAGGGTAACATGCCATGCTTTAGGATGTCTGTGTATACAAACTTATCCATAATGCCATCTATTCTATGTAAAGGTCCCATCCCAAACCCCGAAAATCACCCCCAAACCATAGCAGACCCGCCTCCATGTTTGACAGTGGGCAAAGTGTACTTGGGGTTCAATCTTTGTCCACTAGGACATCTAATGTAATGAGCGCCATCTGATCCAAACATATTGAACTTGGATTCGTCACTGAAACATACCCTCTTCCAGTCACAGATGTTCCAATCAAGATGCAACCGTGCAAATTGTAATCGGTCCTTACGGTTTTTTCTCGAGATTAGCGGCTTCTTACTCGGGCGACGTGCAAATAACTTCAAATCATTTAATCTTCTACTTAGAGTTTTCGTAGAAACACTCACAATTCCTTTTGTCTCGATTTTGACTTTTATTTGTCTTGGGATTTTAAATGGATCTTTGGACGAAATTACTTTTATTAATCTAACTGATCTAGCATTTAGTTTTCTAGGCCGACCACTTCTCCTAGAGGCTTCCAAGATACCTTTTTGTTTATATTTGTTCAATATTGCCCAAACTGCTTTACGCTTCAGCTCCAAATTTTTCGCAATGTCGACTTGACGTTGACCATCTTTGTATAACTCAATGATCTTAGTTCTCACATCGAAAGAAATTTCTGGACTATGCGGCATGGTCTTAAAATCACTCAACTTATTCCACAATACTTGATGAACACAAACTAATCCTCTTCTGACACGAAACTGTACTAAACTAATGTTGAAAAGAATTTGTCTACATATCTTTGTCCCTCATAAAAAAGTGCTTATATTCAGACTTGTATTGTGTTCATTGCAGATAATGTAAAAACAAGGAATTTAGTTTTTCTACTAATAACGCATTTGTTTATGGAGCAATGAAGTATGAATTCGTTTTCTAAAGGTATTTAGGTAAATATCCATATTTGTTTATATACTTTTGTCCATTACTGTATATCTTCATCCGCAAAGCTTGTCTAGGAGACCATAGGATGGAAGTTTCTATAAGAGCAACGACATGAGCCTCAAGTCTGGATGAGCTTTCTCCATAATTGCGTGGTGTAAGATCGCTGGTGCCGGAAACCATACTGTATGTCACTAATCAAGCCGTAACTTTCGAGGTAGTCCAGAAGCTCGCGATTTCTGCACCTCTCCATCACCTTACTTATAACTTATAACAGAAAGAGCTATAGCCTGTAGGCTTAGATCCTTTATTTGGGAGTGGTTGGACGTGAGCAAATTTCTGTGCTAAATATGCTAATGCTTCAGAGAAACATTTAATAATTCCTTCTTCTACCTGGAAGCGCTTTTTTATTAATAGCTAGAGTTGGATAATTAATCAAGATCTTTGAAACCGTTTCCTCAGTGGAAGTTCCTCTCCACATCCAAGTACTGGCGATACCAAGTGCTTCCATGTTAGGAGAACAACCTTCAATCCTCTGGGAAAAACTCGAACAAGGCTTCGTTGTATACTGCGAAATTTTCATTTGGATTCTTAACTCTTCAACTATTGTACTGAATCGAGAACACTAGCGTCATTAAGCTCTACAAACCAATACTTTACGCCTTATCATATTGTACTACTATCATCTATTGCAGTGCCCATTCAAATGAACCAATTCCAAATTGGTCTTGGCGTGGGTGTAAATAGGGTCTCAAGAAGGAAGCAATGTGGTTGCGATCGCCGCAAAGCCATTGTTATGTGCGTGCTGACCAGATACAGGTAATTGCATATTTCGCAGATAAATTGATAAGCATCACGAAAGACAAATGCTACCATCAGCATACTGTAGCATGCTTCGTATTATAGTCGCCGATTCAGCATTGGGAGGAGTTATCGAGAAAGTGAAAACGGCATGTTACTTAAGTTCAGAAACCGAGCCGTTATTGGTAAGGCAATTAATACACTACGTGTTAAAATCGATGTTCAACTACTTAGAAAGTTTGAACTGAAGGGTTCAGAAGCATAAATTATCATTCAAAAGGCGCAAAAATACGATTTAAGTGATGATGGTAAAGGAGGTGGTTAAAACATATCTTTCAATCCCTCAAGTTAGGAATTTGAATCAGCTTAAATGCTGTAATAGTCTTTGGCAATGGAGAAAATAGCATTCCTAGAAGGGTCTATGGGGGCGGTTGGGAAGGAGGAGTGAGGATCCCTATATAATGAACCGTTCTGGGGTTTTGCAGTGAAAAAGTCTTAACATTTTGATACAGTTTTATAAATTATGGAACCGACTCCGACTACTGATTTCCCTGTTTTGAAAATTAGGTAATTCTCATAAAAGATTTTACATCGAGACCTGAAAACTACTATATTTTTTTTCTTAAAAACCAGTTTTTAAAAGACAAAAAAACTGCGGATCCTTGGATACCCTATTGAATAACACGCGTATGATGGTGCCATCCATTTTTACGGGTTACGAGATGTTAAAACCTATTTCCAACAAGGTCTCCTTCAGCGGCCTGTTTCTCCGGAATCAAGAGGTGTTTCGCAAACCGAGAGGATCAAATACAATAGTTTCAGAATAGTGCCAAGGGTCATCCATTGAATTGTTGCCCCATGTTTGGGAAATACCCTGTTCATGACTAAACTACCATGCTAAGTTATTAATAAAAAGTTTCAAAGGTATGAAGTAGTTAGTATAGTTGGACCAGCGAAAGATTGCAAGCCGAAAGAATGCGGACAAAAAATTGCGAAGTTGTCAGATGTTCTACATAAAATGCGGTCCATACATATTAACATATTTAAGATATAGAATTGTTCCGCTGAATTTGGCAATGTAGCTGGAAAACCCAGGCCGCAGGTAAACATCCGGTCGCTGATTGGTCCAAAACTCTTATCTTATCTGAAACTAGAATAACGTGCCGATGGCACGGTCATTTATAAACCTACTCCCATAGGCGTAGGCAGTGGTTGAGCAAAAAAGGTATAGAGCATGATCCTAATGCTAAAAAAATGGAGCTTTATGAAATAGCTTGTCTACATAGGCCACCATCTGATGAGAAAAATTATAAGATAGATAATTTAATAAGAAGTTTCGGACACACCCCACTTCGAACGCCACCCTATATGTGTCAGTTTAATCCCATAGAGATGATTTGGGCACAAGTAAAATTTTTCATTAGAAGCCATAATACAAGCGGCGAATTTACTATAAAAAAACTAGATGAAATTTCTAATAAGGCCATCGCTTCAGTAAGTGCCAGTGACTGGCAAAAGGTTATTGGACATGTTATAAAAATTGAAGATGAATATTGGGAAAAAGACAGTCTCATTCAAGAAATACAGGAAGAAATAATAATCAACATAGGAGGTGAAAGTGATAGCAATGACAGTTCCTCAGACAGTGATCATGACTCTAATCAGGATTGAAACTATACTAGATTGGCTACCTTTTAGAATTTTTAGATATTCATTTATTATACTATTGGTTTGTGGCTTTTAGTATCTCAGTAGAAAGTCTAATTCTATGTGTTGTTTATGGGTTATTTCATCAAGAAATTACTTTTTGTTTTCCTATATTTTTCTATTCAGTCAGATATTTTTGACTTGTTGTATTCTATTTTAGAAGAATGCATAATTTGTTTTGCTGTTCAATCATAATGCGTACATAGGAATATTACTTGTTGCCTAAAAAATATATTTATTTTGTTCTCAATATTCAGTGTTTGTGTATATTTATTTCTTATAATGTATGTTTGGTATCACGTCATTATGAATCGCAAAAAAATATTAATACTACCAGTTGTAATAAAATATAAATTCAATTAATAATTCAAGTCTCTCCGATCTCCGCCTATGACTCCATATAAAATCGTCTAATGGTAAGGTTTTTTCATCGCATTTCCCCCTTTCGTCCCTAGCAATCTTTGGCTGGTCGATCTATATATACTCGTACGTTTATGAGCTGATAGTTGAAGAACCCGAGAATCGAACATAAAACATCTTTTTTCTGATTTTGTTCGTCGTCGTGTTTTTGTCAAATTCGCTCACAGCGTTGAAGACGCGCGAGGACAGTTTTTTTTTATATTCCTGTCAGAATATTTGAATTATCAATTGGCTATCTTAGCTACAGAGCACATGAGGCTCAATTTCCAATAATGGACTAACGGACATGCAGTGCTACCAAGCCGAAAAACGCAGAATCACTATTTTATTTCTACTTGCGTCAAGCTGAACGTATAGACCAGACTTATGCAACCCTGTTATTTCCACGCCATCATCGATGCGTTGATAAAGTGATCAGGGTTCCCAGATGAGTTCGTTTTCCAAAAAATCTGGTGATTTTTTACCCGTTTGTATCCATTACGTATTTGCCAAAAGTCTGTTCTCACTCATTTTATCAAAGAGATTCGAAAGACATAAATATTAGTGGTCAAACTAGATTCTCTGGATCCGCGCTTGACTACATCGGGGTATCATCCTTGAAAAAGAGTACAACCTGAACCTCACAGTTAGCCCTAATTCAAAAAGTAGGAGCTACCATTTTTATACTTTTGGCGAATTATTCAAATATTTGAAAGATACAAGTTATATCTGTTTTGAAAACTTGTGCCCATTCATGGAAAAGTTGGATTCAAATATTATTATTATTAAATGGGTTTTCGAGTCCACCTAAGGGACCAACCACTCATATTAATTGGAAATCTTGCTAGATTACAACAGACCCTTTGCATATCCGTTGAATAAGATCGTAAAATCGACTGAAAAATCAGAATAATTAGCAATCATGGGATATAATGGCGTCAAAAACCTGCTCCATGTGTGTGCACAGATAGAGATATTGCCTTTTCACTTCCAACGCTAATTGGTGATGAAGTATTGTTAAAATTTCGAAAATGAGATATCAAGTTTTTTGGATGTTACATGTCTGATTTGAAATCTTGGCACAATGTTACTGCTATGTTAAGGACACGGAAACGTTATAGGTTTCAAAAATTGATGCAGTAGCAGCGAAGCTACAAGTAAAAAAAATGCAAAAAATCAAAAGGGCTCAAACCTTTCCTCAAGTTTTAGTGATTCGTGCTGATTTTCAGCATATTCTTAGGGAGAACTGAAAATCGGGAGTTGGGTATTGTAAATGTTGTATCCTTGGTATCAGTGATCACGAGTGTTATGTCTTCGAATCCCCTTCGAAAACTTCCAAAGGGTAAAAGCGTACCGCAGCTGCTTGTTCCTTTTCTTCTAGTGCTGTTGAATGTGGAAACAAAAGAAACCTCAAACTGAATAAAATTTAAAGATTCCTATTAAATTATTTTTCAAATCACTAGTGCTATCAGGCAAAATGTAGATAAAATTTATATGTGACGTGAATGTTATTAGTACTACATGGTAGGCGCCTCCCCACCATCTCTACCATTTTGTTATCTAGTTAATTGGATTGTTAGTAGAGGGTACTTTCCTATGTTAAAACAATCCGTCATTACAAGAATTTATAAATCAGGAGACGAAACAAAAATGTCAAATTATCATCCAATTTGACTTCTATCTACCATAGCAAAAATTATAGAAAAATAATTAAAATTAGGATCAGCAGGTTTATAGATAAAAAAAACATATTAGCCAGTCAGCAATTTGGATTCGTGGGAGAATATGCTAACACAAGATGTCATGAAAGTAGTCTCATCAGATATTAGTCAGTGGATTGATAGCACTATACCTTGTAATTGGTGTATTCCTAGATTTAAAAAAGGCGTTTGACACAGTTGATCATCCTCAATTACTTGATGCTATGTGGTGCATAGAGATAAGACACAAGCTGATTCACAGTTACTTACAGAATAGGGAACAATTGAGTTTACAGTTATTTTCAAAAAATACTCTGTGACGTTCCTCAGGGCGCTGTATTAGGACCATTAATATTCACTATATACTTGCATGATTTGTCGATATCCAAACAGCTGGAAAAATTGTAAGTTTTGCGAACGATAGCATAATTTTCTACATTGCAGTAAATTGGAGTCAACTAAAAACAGTTTGTGAAAATGAACTATAATAAATTGGTTTAAATCTCGTTTTTTAACGGTAACTTATAGTAAAACGTGCTTTATGCCATATTCATCATGTTCAAAAAATTTGACTACTGAACGTTAAATTGTGTTAATTGAACCAACGAGTCACTGTAAAATCTAGGTGTCTATTATAGATCCACATCTTCGTTGTGATACTTATATAAAATACGTCGTAAAAGAATTAGACTTCTTCTTTACAAAATCAAAAATTATAAGCAGTTTCCGATGGAAGAACAATTGAAAATTCTTTATTAAGCATTAGCAGAAAGTCATATAAATTATGTTATCATAATTTTCGGAGCAGCTAACAAAACGTACACTGATGCTCTAGAAAAAGCACAGAAACTAATTTTAAAAACAATACACAATGAACCAATTACGTATCCAACGGAAACTTTGTATGCTGAAACTTAAATACCTAATATAAGTCAACAGTTTTTACTCCATGGCCACAGACCAACATAAAAAATGAACAAGTATCGTACAAGGAATACACATGATTTACTGAACATTACCAACCAGGAAATAACTCATTACTACGATGTTGGACCTTTCTATGTCCAAGACCTTTTAACCTATCACCTGAAAGAAGGAAACTAACAATCATTAACACGTTTGAAAAGGAGTCAAAGAAATGGATAATATATATTCCTCGATCAAAGATTCATCAAACTATCGATCTCAAGAATACGAGCCCCTTCCCACTTC